TGACTAAAAAATTTAATTAGAAGATTATATAATTATGTCTGAAGATATTTCAATCCAGTGTGATAATATGAGCACTATTGGTTACCTAGAAAAATATAATTTTACTCACACAAAACAAACATATTAAGGTTAAAAATCAATTAATTGGAGATCATGCATATTAAAGAGATGCAAACATAGAATTCATTGAATAATTTTTCTATTAAATTTTGATGAATATAATAGAATTGATGTGGAAAATAAAATTTAATATATCTATCACAATTTTAAAAAAATTAAATAATCATTAAGAATATAAAATATTTTATGTAGAAACTCATATACCTAACTCACAAAAAGTCTTTTTTATATTATATATAAATATGCTCAACGTGTATAAAATAGAATTTTCTATGTTTTCTCAAGTATTAAAATTTTTTTTATTGGTTGGTTGGTTGTTAGAGCTTAATTGTGAGAACTTTTACAAGTCATTGGAGCTTCTTTGACTAATCATGTTGTAGCCACAGAAAGAGTAATTTAAGAATATAGTGTATACATTATGAGCATATTTTGATAGACTATAAGAAGACGTTGGTCGAGTTGGGTATGGAACAAAAAGCTCATGAAAATATTCTTACTCTCCATCTCTCTCAAATTCTATTTCAAGTAATGTATTTTCTTAAAATAAATCTTAAATGATGATCCAAATGTCTCCATGGCTTGAGCCCATGTAAAACCACTTCATTGACAATATTTTAAATTTTTTTCAATCGACCATCAAATATATAAGTTGGCTCCTGTGTTTTTAAGTTTTGACATATATATTTTCTAAGATATAAAATAACTAGATCATTAAATTCACTATTAGATTTTTCTTACAAATATTTAAGAGACTGTTTAAATTCTCAACACTAACTTCTAAACATAGCTTTGAGTTTCTCTTCTCCATTAAAGGAAAGCAAAATTTTTAAGAGTTTTATTTGCTCCATGAAGGAGAGAATCATGTGGTGGTAAAATTGAGATAGTAGAACCAAGATGATGGAGGTCTAAGTGAGAACATATGCAGGGTCAAAATGTTGTAAATTTTTTGTGTGCTTTCTTTTAAAATTTATTTACTTGCATTTATATTCTTTCTTAATCTACTTATATCACATAACTAAAAATTTAATTCTACACACATTTAAATAAGAATAGTAATTTTTAAAAAAAAACACTAATTATTTAGTTGCATACCCATCACTAAAATCATATCAAAAAGGTTGATTTTATAAGATAATGGTGTATCAACCATCTTAAAAGGAAAATTTTATCAAACGTATTAGAAAATTGATTAGAAAGTCTGGAGGTATAATTTGATATCATAGTAATTAAATGCAACTTTGGTGAAATGGGAAGCTCATTAGTGACTTCACATGGAAAAGGTATGTCTAAACCACTTAAAATCTTCAAGAGCATATAAATGTATGACCCTTAATAAAAAGAGTTGTAAATAAAGAGATTAATATAAATAGTATAGTTAAAAAAAGGTTTATGCTCATTTTGATAGATATCCAAGGTAGATGAGCCAATAACTAAGCCCTGCATTTTAAACTGAATGCTTAAAATTTTTTTGGTTGGGAAAATGTTATCTGTAATCTTTAAAACTTGTTTTTATTAATCTTTCAAATTTTTTGAATATTTTATTATATGACTCAACAATATTAAGCTAAGCTAAAAAATTCTTCACCTTCCTTTATCAAAAGTTGAACTATAGTTTCTAACATAAAAATAGATTATTTTATAGTCTAGATTTTAGTTTATATTGAACAGTATTTTTGTATTCAAATTTACTTCATCTCTACTTGTAATGGAGTTTTTTTCTTCCTAATATGTGTTCATTTTAAATAGAAAATTCTCATATATTTTATTCTTGTACGTCAATTTTATTTTACAAAGCTTGTTCTTTGATAGAAATCTGTGCTTTTAAAATAAAAAATGCCATCTAATTTTTATTCCAATTAAATATTACATGATGTATGGTGAACATTTTATAAGTTTCAGTTTTCATCTTGATATTGTAATTATTTAGTGATCAAAGATATCTATGATTGAAAACATAAAATATGAAGTAAACAACTTTTAAAACTAAAACTAAAACTAGAAAGAAGAAATATGAAAAATGCAAGGCTAGAAACGCCTACCATTATGTCCCAAGTTATCCTTTAGTTTAGCTTACTTTACCTTTTCAAATGTTCTTTTAATTAAAAGAGCACAAAACATTTATGCGTTTTTTTTCTTTTTATTATAAAATTTTTTATACAAATTTAAAAAGGGTTGCTTACAAAATAATGAAATAAAAATTTTAAAACTTTTCTTGGAGTCTTTAAGTATTTATTAACAACATCTTTCTATAAGTCATTAAAAAAATGCATAGTAAAATTTATCATAACTAAGCATCAAGAAAAATACATATTTAAATTTCATGTTTTTGAGATATATTCAATAGGTTAATTTCTAACTAAAGGAATTTAAAAAAATTGAAAAAGCTAAGCATATCGATTGTATTCAAATTGCCTTGTTTATAGAGTATATGACATTTTACGGGTCAAAATTCTTTGTGGAGAAGTTCCAAAGTATGATTGCCCATTTTAGAGTTGTTGGGGGCTCTTTAAAGTTACTATTTTATAGCTTTTTTAGGGCAAAAGCTAAGGGGTGGATTATTTTTCTCTGATACCATAAGATAAGAAATATTTTACAATGTATTAAATCATTCTTTAGTAGTGATAAAATGTTAAATGATGGTAGAAGGGCGATAAAAAGTTAACTAATTTAAGATTTCTATATGTAAATTTATAGTAGAGAAAATTGTGTTCTTTGTGAAAATGGTTAAGTACCTATATATTTTTGATTTGGGATGTTATCTAACTAATGATGGAGATCTAGATTAATTGAATTTGTGCTTATGAAGTCATAAGTTTCTAGTAAATTGATCATAATGACTAGAGTTAGGATTTTATGAAAAGCACATGGCTAAATTATTGTGTTAGATTTACGTGACTTAAACCTTGAGAAGGTGGTGCAGATGAAAGAGAACAAGAAATTAGATAGAAAAATACATGTTATAATTTACAAATCTTAATAATATTTTATTCAAAAATCAATCTAGAAATACTAAATGAAGCATTAGAGAAATAGTAAGAGATATTGATAAGTACATTGATTGCTTTCCTTAAAAGTTCATTCATGGAATATAATGACATCCCCTTCATAAATGTTCATTATTTTAAAAAAATTAATATCAAGTAAATTTAAAGGGTTTAATTAAATATTAGATTGCTTATGCTAAGACCTTAACATAATTTATTTATATGATTGAAAATTAATTTTGTAATATTTAAAATAGTCATTAAAACCTCATATTTCCCAGCTCCTAGATCATAATGAAATTCAATTAGTGGAAAGCCTTCTTGCTTATCCTATATGATTCATTCCTGAAAATTATATTATGTTCTTATCATTGATCTATTTTGTGGCAAAAATCCTTTTATAATGTCTTTGTTCCTCTCTAAGCACTATCAAATAGTAAATCACTTTTATTTTGGAAAAGTGTGCCTAACTAAAATTTGATAATTTTAAAATATGTTTAAATAATATAATATTATTAATCTGTAAAGGGCCAATATACAATTAAGCTGTTTTGGTGCGATCCTAGTCTTTTAGGACTATATGCCCCTATTATATCTAACATATTTGATTGAAACTCTTTTATGTTGAATTAGCACTATTTTAATCCTTCATTAATTGTATTTATTTTTATGTAACTAGTTGTTATTTTTTGAATTTGACATCTTAATTCTGACAGTTACTCATAATAGTTAGATACCTAATGTGTGCATACATTAATAAATCAATAAATAGAAAATAAGCTTCTAATATTCACTGTTATTTTTATCATCCCGACTATATGATGATCATAAAGATTGATCATGAAAAAAAAGTGAGTGATTGACTATGTCATATGTTTTATAGTTAAATCCCATCAAGCAAAAGTTTGGATCTAAATAACTATTTTATGTGGTTCAATTCACCCCATATTTAATTGTTCGTGTTAAATGAGTGCACGGACTAAGCTCCTTTGAACCAAATCACCTTGTTTTCAATGAATATGTCAAGCTTCGAGAAACACAAATAATCAATTGAAATAAGATTGTATGAGCTGAGAATTTGAATTCTATTCTTATTTTTCTTAAGATAATTCAATTTGCATCAAGTATAGCATAGTCTTGTCTGGTTTGGTATTTAAAATAACATTGTTCCCATCAAATACACCAGCTGTTTTGGCTTAATAAATCAATATCAAATAGAAAATGAGAAGCAGAGTAAAATCAAACAGTCTATTTTTGGCTAGCCAAATCAATTATTCATCAGGTGCCACAAGAAATAAGTTCAAAATGGATTAAGCTACATAGCTTAAAAATGATCACCTGAAGAATGAGAAGAAGGGAGATGGAAGCAACAAAGAATGTTTAATCTTTTCATCTTCATAGCTTCCTTTGAGTGTCCTCGTTTATTTTACTACCTTTTTCTGTGAAGAATAACGAGGAATTTGGCAAAATAATTATGCCATGAGAATGAGGCAAGGGAGGTGCTATTGTTATTTTTTGATTTCATGAACCATGTGAGCCCAAACTAGTCACTAAAGCCAATTATTAGCTTTGCCTGCCTACGCAGATGAGCAAAAGCTTTAGTTTTGTAGAAAATAGAGATATTATTTGGAAATTTAAGTATTAGTGATTTTTTTTTTTTTTTTGCTTTAGGTTGTCAGCCTTTCCAATTGATGTAAGACAGGGCTTTTTGTCTTTGGAAGATAAAAGGGCTGATCTTGCTTCATTACTTCTCAACCCAGCAAAGCCAATTTTGTCCTAAAAGCTGATCTTTTCAACAAAAAATCTTAAATTTAAATAGAGAAAAAAAAAAAAAAAGCAGTTCTGGCTATAGAAATTCTGCAACAAACAAGCAAGGTTTACTTTGCAGTTCTGGCTGACAACAAGTCATTGATGATTGGCATTCAGATATATGATGCAAACAATAGAAATTCTGCAACAAACAAGCAAGGTTTACTTTTTATGCAGGGCTCAGCTGACCATTTCTTCTCAAAACTAAATTTTCCTGCATGGCGGCAGAGGCCTGCCACACAGGCACTGGTTATGAGCATAAGCAGCTGCTGGAAATATGTTGAATGGCCTTTTCTGTGGAATCTGCCCACATAATTTATTAGCTCTGAAACTTACATGCCTAATGCTGCTAAGCCCAGAAAATGTAGCAGGTATACTTCCTGTGAGCTTATTGCTTGAGATGTCCAGCCACAGTAATCTTACCATTTCACCCATCGTTGCTGGAAGAGCGCCCATAATTTGATTCCTGGAAAGATCCAGCTTCTCAAGAGTGGCTAAATTTGATATGCTGATTGGGATTTGACCTGTAATGCTGTTCTTGGACAGAACAAGATATGTCAGACTGGTTGCTTCACTGAATTGAGGCAATCTACCTGTAATTTTGTTTCTTGAGATGTCAAGAGATTCCAGGATGCTGCTTGACTTTTGCAGAAAATCTGTCACCGAACCATAAAGCTGGTTTGAATGGAGATCAAGAATAGAAAGACTATCAGGCAACAAAATCCCTGCTATATTTGATTTTATCTGGTTACCAGAGAGATTGAGCACCTCTAGGCTAGTCATATTAGTGAGAAAATCACCAATATTTCCTGTGAGATTATTGTTAGACAGGTCAATTGAGCTCAGTAAATCTGCTCTTGTGAAAACTGGCAGAGTTCCTCCAATGTTGCAGCCTGCAAGTTTGACTTCTCTTAGTTCTTTTTCTTTTATCCAATCCTGGATAGAATCCAAATGCAAATAATTATAGGAAAGATCAATGGAAATTAATGATGGAAGCCCAATTCTGAAGCTATTTGGCAATCGATTAGAAAGCTCATTTTTTGAAAGATTAAGATACCACAGCTTCTGCAATCTCCCAAGAGATTCTGGAATTGAGCCTGTGAGAAAATTATTACTCAAAGATAGAGAATTCAGTGACTTGAGGTTGCCAATTTGGCTTGGGATCAATCCTGTGAGCTTGTTATCACCCAATGATATATCTAAGACTTTGGGAAGACTGCAGAGCAATAAAGGCAAAACACCTGCTAACTGGTTATTTGAAAGGTCAACGTATGTAAGATTCTGAAACTGCCCAACAAAACCAGGAATTCCCCCAGATAAAAGATTATGGCTTATGTCGAATAACTGCATACTATGTAAGTTTTGGAATGTGGAAGGAATAGTGCCAGTAAGTGAGTTCCTCCCTAGGTTTATTTGAATCAAATTTCTAAGAGACCCAAGGCTTTGAGGGATTTGGCCTTGTAAACGATTGCCACTTAGAGATAATTCTACAAGAGAAGTTAGCTTGCCAAGGCTTGAAGGGATGGGGCCTTCAAGCAGACTATTTTCGAGATAAAGCTGGGTGAGGTGACCCAAATTTGATAAACTCTCAGGAATAACTCCATAGATCTGCTTCATTCCACTGAGAACCATCACTTGCAGATACTGGAGCTTGCCAAGGGAAGGAGAGAGGGTACCTTTCATGTAAAGTGCTTGTCCTACACTTTGTTGAGATCTTTGAAGCTGCAACCTGACGACCCTTCCAGATTTAGGATGGCATTCTATGCCCTCCCAAGCCCTACAGCAGTCAATGCCTACCCAGGAGGAGAGAATGCCGGTGGTGTCCTTCAATATTCCAGCTTTGAAACTGAGGAGAGCTGCTCTGTCTTCTTGAGAGCAAGTTGGGGGTTGAGCCATGAGATTTAGTGGGAAGAGAGGAGAGAAGAGGAGCAGGAGAGCTGAGTGGTGAAAAAACAAGTTTAAATTCATCATATTGGAAACTTCAGTAGTTATTTTGGGATTTGGGATGAAATTTGTTGAGCTTTGTGGAGCGAAAAAGGTGAAGAAAAGTGTGAGCGGGTTGGCTTCTTAGCGCGGGAAGAAAGGTCTGATGATGATGATGATGATGATGATGATGATGATGACATGTAGCAGGTATTTATAGTGTGTCGGTGGGGATTACAGTTTAATTTTGTTTAATTTCCTTCACATGACCTTTTGTGACTTGGGAGCCTTCAAACACTCGCAGTTATGCTTCGAACGTTGGAGCGCTTGGAGTTTGAATTCTTTCTGTTGGCCTCAATTTTACAAAATCTTTTGAGAGAAGCAGGAAAAAATTATTTTCCTTGTTCTTTACTTTTTCTGTCATATGTTAAGCATGATTTTTTGTTGGCATTCTATTTTTAATTTTGTTGACTTTCTATACTGAACTTTATATATATTGTATGTTAAGCATGATTTTTTGTTGGTATTCTATTTTTAATTTTCTTGACTTACTATACTGAACTTTATATATATATATATACATATATATATATATATATATATATATGCCCAATGTTAGGCAAAATTGGATAATAATGATCTTCGTTTATTTTCAGATTTAAACTGAATTTTTTTAGATCTCCACTATTGATGGAACGATGTTTTGTCCTTTTCATTATTAGCTTTCTTTGCTATAGTCCTTGGTGTTCTGTCATTTTCATAATGTATGGGGGCTAAGATGATCATGTTTATCCCTATTGTGTTTGACATTTTATCATTCATCAACGGGCCATAATATATACCATCATTAGTTTTTTATCTTAATGTTTCTATGATATTTCTTAATGTTTCTTATTGAAGATATAAAACCAAATAGTGTGTTCTAAAACTTTTTATTGCATATATTTGAATCATTTCAAAACCTTTCCATATCACAATTGATCATTGTTTGAGTCTTACTGTTGATCAAACCTTTTTGTGTCATAATTAAACATTTTTCGAACATATATGAATATTTGTTTAAACCGTACATCAATGTATATTTTTAGTCATATTAGAATATGTTCCAACAATTTCAAAACACGGATCAAAAAAATATTGAAATCATTTGATATTGGTTTGGACATTGCTTAAATGCTTGTTCAAGTATTTGTGGCATTTTATGCTAACGAATGATTTATGAAAACTGAACAAATTATGATCATTATTATATTATATTGAGGAGAACAAAAATAAAAATAGGAAAATCATTGGATGTTTATTAAAAAATCAAGAAAAAAAATACTAGCACAAAAAAAATGTCCTAAAAATGTTATATATCTTATATACAAAATTGCGGAGATTGATAACAAAATTTTTTAGAGGCTCCTCATAAAGCTTGCACCTATTATATGATAATGAATATTGTTATGATGTTTGAAAACAATAGTCGGCATGAGGAATACTGATGCTGAAAAGTTAAGGTATTTTTTGTATTTTTCTTGCAGGTACACTAGGTAATTGAAGTAGGGAAATCATAAGAGGACTTGGAGATGGGTGGTGCAAAGTGGCACTGGTGGGCGCCTAGGCACTAGACCCTAGAGCAGCTAGGCGCCTGTCAATGCCTTACCAACCTGACAGGTTGGCCTATAACCCGAAAGGTTGGTGCTTAGGCGCCAACCATTGGGCTCGTATGCACTGCAATACTAGTGCCTAGGCACCAGACCCTTAGGCGCTTAGGCACTCGTTCATTCCACAACAAACCGAGAGTATGGCGCCTAGGTGCCAACCTCTGGGCGCATACGTGCCTGAAACTAGCTGGAACAGTTGCTACAGTTTGTGACCCCAAATGTAGGGTAGCATGTGGGGATCATGTAGGGATGATGGAAATTTGTGGAAGCTATTGTAAAGTGTCTATAAGTAGTAGAGGAATGCAGGCTTGAGAAGATTGATGCTCTTAGGAGTATTTAATGGGTTATGCTTGGAGTTCCTTGTTCCACTGTAGGAGAAGAGGAAATTTTCCAATGCAGAGGTTCAGGGAATCAAGAAGTTTGCTTGTTGAGTAAACTTCTAGTTGTTGTAAAGGTGAAATTAGCAGAGTATATTTCTATTGATTATTGTATTTTAGTTGTATCAAATTATTAATGGATTTCTCTTTTGTTCAATGCAATTGTTTGGTGATTTCAGTGTGCTTTTTGGGCAAAAATTTAACATTTCCTTGTGATGATTAAGAAGGATGATTGGAATGTGAATTGCTTGGTAATTTCTCTTATTTAAATGGTGATGATTAAGCATAAAATCTTAATTTACTTTCATTTTGGTCAAGTGAATTATAAAAACTTATTGTGAATCATAAGACTTGAGAAAGTTATGGTAGAATCAACTATATTAATCCCATTGAATTATCAAGTATAGGTGGATAGGTCTTGTAGAGAGATGCAAATGTTAGGGAAATACACTTTGAAGGGATAGTTATAAAATTTAAGGAATTAAAGTCATTTCTATCTAAGCTTCTTTATGCACTCGGAAGGAGGTAAAGAAGATTGCTGCTCCTATTTATCATTAGTTTTTAGTACTTACAACTTTACATTCCATGTAATTCACTTAACTCATTGCATGGAAGAGCCTCTTAAGTATTTGATATCTTTTAACCCAAATTGTTAGAAGTGGGATTAATTGTGTAGGATTTAAATTTATTGTTTGTTTTAACACACTATGTTAGTTTTTTAAACTTAAACATTTTCAGCTTTTCAGGCTAAGACTTAAAACCAATAGGCTAGAACTTTTCCTAATGAAACTTACCACATTTCCTATGGAACGACATTTTGAACTCTAAAATCCGATAATACTAATACAACAAGTGCACTTGCATGAACCTCGGTGTGTTGTAGAACCTGGAAGCGATATCTAGTTTTTGGCGTCGTTGCTATGGAGAGACGGTGATTTGACTTAGGAAAGTTTTAGTTGAACTTCAAGGTCTTAGACTTGAAAACCTGTAGTGTTAACTGTTTATGTTCAATTGTTTTTTCTATTTTTTGAAAAAATAAAAAAAACAAAAAAATTATTTTTGTTTGGTTGTGAGTGACCTTTTAGTGTTAGGGATCTTTAGTTCGTAAATGCGTAGTTCAGAACCTACAAGACTTGTACCTTATGATTCTTAGCAAGAGAGGACTATTAGGAAGATTAAAAAAACAAAAAAAAACCTTCAAGAATTTGTAGGAGAGATAGTGAACAATCCACAAAACAACTTAGAACTTCAGGAACCATTCCACGAACAATAAAATGCACATAGACCTTTAAGAGCCTATGCTAATCTTATAATAGATGAAATTCATTTGAGTATCCAAATCCTTGCCATAGAAGGTAACACATTAAAACTGAAGCCTACTATTTTTCAAATGATACAGAATAATTAGTTTGGGGGAACACCATCTGAAGATCCAAACTAATATTTAAAGAGTTACTTAGAACTTTGCGTCACGTTTCACTATAAAAACTAATATTTAACGAGTTACTTAGAACTTTGCGTCACGTTTCACTATAATGGTGTTTCCAATGATGCAGTTAGGCTAAAGCTTTTCCCTTTATCCTTGAGGGATAAAGCCAAAATATGATCAAACTCATTAGCACCGAGATCAATTAGGACATGGAGTGTCTTAGCCTAAAAATTCCTAAAAAACAACTAAATTGAGGAATGATATCATTTCATTTTGCCAGCATGATGATGTGTCTATTTATGAAGCTTGGGAAAAATTCAAGGAACTTCTTTGGAAGGGTACCCATCATGCATTGCCTGATTGATTAATAATTCAAACTTTTTACAACTGGTTAGTATGTTCTCTTTTGTTTATCATTGATGTTACCACAGGTGGATCGCTTATGTCCAAGCCATTTAATGAGGCCTATTCTCTAATTGAGGAGATGGATACCAACATTTTTCAACGACCTTCAGAGAGAGTGAACCCTAGAAAAGTAGCAAGTTTACATGACACAGACGTGCATTCAATTATAATATCTTAGGTTGTTATTATATCTAAGAAGCTAGACCAGTTAGGAATGAACCAACCTCAAGGACCAAAAACAATTGAGAAAAATTCATTCAGACAACTGATTTATGCTAATGCTTCATCCCTTGAGACCCTAAATGCAATTAACAATTGGATGAATAAATCGTATTCCAAGTATGGCAATTCCAGCTAGAAGAATAACCCTAACTTCAATTGGAACAATAATCAACTAAATGCTTGCCCATGTTTTAATATGGACATTATAAGTTATTAGGACACCTTTTCGTATTCATAACTGATTAGTACATTTTCGAATTCACAATTGCTTGTGGCACCTTTTCATATTCATAATCGTTTTTGACACCTTCTCATATTTATAACCGCTTGAATAAAAGTGTCTGATGAGCCGACAACCTTTTCACTTGGTGGATGGAAGCCTCTGGTCGGCTGTAAAATGTTCAGTTGACTGGAAGGTCATTAGTCTGCCTTTTCATGGAAAAATTCCAAGACGAGACACTTCTGTTGTCAACATAAACTGGAATATCAGACAGAGGGTGTACCACCGTAATCTGACGGGCAACCTTCCTTGTACAATGAGTCTTTTCAGAGGCTCGAAGAAACTTCTCATGAGGGACCCATTGGTCATTTTGTGAGGTGCTCTCGAATATGCTGAGAGAGCTAGTCATGAATGACTGCCCCTCAAATTAGGCTCCTTCTTTCCCTTCTTTTTGTTGTCTTTTCGTTCAATTTGCTCAGAGTTCTGACCGAAGGAAACAACATTTGATATTCTCGCCTTTTTACTATCCCGATATAGTGTCCGCATCGGTGATGGTCGCGGCTCATATAATAGCCTCAGTTCATTCCTTTGTGTGTGTGTGTGTGTGATGGCCGGGGCTCATATATATATATGACGTTGATGTTCATTTCGTTTAGTTAATGAGTTGAAAATTTTTGTCCGAAGCTGACAGTCGCAAGATCCATAATTTAAATAAACATCAAACTGAATAAAAGCTGTTCAAACACCTGGATAGATTGATTCACTTTTTAAAATTATAGCTTATGTGTTTGAGTAGCAAAAAAAATTTAATTTATCAACGAAAAACAAAATAAATTGGTGCCCTAACAATGTAAACTTAACTTC